GATGACTTATTTTACACAGTCGATTTATATTTTGGTTGGTTGATTTTTTACTTTGTTGATTTATTTATACAGTTGATTTATTATTTTTATGTTTGTCGACTTAATATTCAGTTTCGTGACTTATTTTAAGCTGTTGACTTATATTTTGATTGATTGATTTTTTACTTTGTCGACTTGTTTAACCATTGACTTATTTTTTTAGTTTTGTTGATTTATTATTAAAGTTCATCGARTTATTTTAAACTGTTGACATATATTATCGTTTGCTTGATTTTTTACTTTGTCGACTTATTTAACCATTAACTTAATTTTCAGTTTTTGTCGACTTAATTTTCAGTTTCGTCGACTTATTTTTAACTGTTGACTTATATTTRGTTTGATTGACATTTTAAATTATCGACTTATTTAAACCTCTGACTTACTTTTGTAATTCGTCGACTTAAATATTTTTTTTGATCGATTTATTTTAAACTATCGATTTATATATTGGTTGATTGACTTTTTACTTTGTCAGTTTATTTAAACCATTGACTTAATTTTTATGTTCATCGACTTGACATACTATTATATATGACAAAAATTTTATTAGATTATTAGATAGATGATATATTAGTTTTACATATTATAAATCAATTTTAAATAAAAATTAAGAAAATCAAATCATTTTTTTTTACTTTAATCTTGTTAAGTAAGGATAGATACGTCATTTCAACTCTTAAAATAGGGTACTTTTCAAAGTGTAACAAATTTGGTATAGATTTCAAATTTTCAATAAGATTTAGGGTATACAAGCCAATTTTCCCTAAAATCTAAAGCAAAAATTTAAAGGAAAAGAGCTTAGTTTAGTGAAAGTAATACAAGAACCTCTAGAGATTAGTTCGGTTTCGTAAGACACTAACAAACAGAAAAATAGCAAAAAATTATATTGGATTGTGAATAGATAAGTTATTAAAATTGAGAAGTCTGCATATTTCAACAAAACAGTACAACAAGTACGAAACAAAATACACTAAAAACAGAGCATAGAAATAGCAAAAATTCTGAAATAAACCAACGAGGACACTAATAAAATCTATCTTCTTTCATAAAACATTTAAATTTCTTTCTAGAACCGTAATTGCAAAGTAGAAATCGAGAGAGAGAGAAGAGCTAACCTTGAAATGGGTACTCGTACTAACAAGCTAGTTAGGATAATGATGAGTTAGAGAGAGGTTTACAAAGATTAGATAAGAGTTTATTAAATATCGAAAAATCAGAGTTTTATCTTTTGGTGAAGAAAAAAGTGAGAGAGGTAGATAAGTGATGTTAAAACGGGCTGGTCCGGTCTGTTTAGGTCTGTCCCGTTTAGGTCCGGTCCGTTTAGGTCCGTGTAACAAAAAATCCGTTTAAGCCCGTTTATACTTAAATCCGGCAGATTAAATATAGCCTGTTTAGGTCTGTTTATGCTTAAGGCGCCATATTTAATATGGCCCGTTTTCGCATAAATTTTTTTTTCTTTTGGTCACACTTTAAATTTTTTAATATTATATTAAATATCTGATTTCGTACTATAAATTAGCATAGAAACCAGTAAGAAATCTCAACCCAGAAATCCAAGATTCTTTAAATTTTCTGAAATGGAATACACAAATCAAAGAAGTAGTTGCAAAGGAGAAGATTAACAAGTCAACAACAATATAACAAAACCGAAACTTTTATATCAAATACATAAAAGAAAACCACTTTGACGAATCAACATGAACAAACAAAACAAAAAGAAAAATAGTCAAAGAAGAAACCTACCGACGTTTTGTGAAAAATCAAAAAGATCAATTACAAAAAAAAAAAACTCAACCTTGATTTCCTAAATTTTTTTTTTAAAATTATACGGACCTAAACGGGCAGTCCATTTATTGATCAGATCTAAACGGGCCAACATTTTTTAATCCATTTATATTTAACTCATAAACGGGCCTAAACGGCTCAGTTTTATAAATCATGTCCGTTTAGGTCCGCGAATTTCAGATCCATTTTAATATCACTTAATTAAAGAGGCGGTCTAATAATGATGATTAGTAGTCTGACGAATTTTTTTACCGTTGGATTTTTACAACGTTCGGATGGTTGATTTGACTTCTTGTAAGAAAAATCTGAAAAGAGAAACGAAAAGGGCTATCTTGGGCTTTCTCTAACAGACTAATGGGCTACATGTGATTTATTACAAATATTTTCCATATCTTCATTAGGACAATGTAATTTCATTTATTGTATTAAATCTATATTAGGGACACTAAAGAATTACAAAATTACTACTGTTTTGCAAAAAAAAAAAAAAATTACAGATTTAAAACAATTCCATGAAATTTCAAAATTGTCAACAATTTTCAAAAGTTCCGACTTTGTTGCATAGACTATCTAATTTTCATTTTCAATAATAAAGAGCAAAAAAGATTAGCAAAATTTGTCTAATGAAATTCACCAATGGAAGAAAACAAATCAAAAAGCATCTTAGTGTTTCTTTCTGTGAAACATTTCTCTCTCTCTTAGTGTTTTTTGGTCAAAATGGGTCATTGTGAAACAGAAGTAACTTCTTTAAGAACTTCTCTTGAGAGCTCATCTGGATTATACTCAACCCCAAAGCATCTCACAACCTCCATCTTCGGATTCAACAAGTATCTATACACACACACACACAAAGACATTTGAACATTTAGCATTCTTCTCAATATGATGAACATAAACATATACGATTTTGAGAAGAAGGATTCCTTACATGTTGTGAGAAGTATCAACGAGGTAATCGTCTCCGTCTTCTTGAAACTTCTTGAAATAAACACGATACTCTTGCGCCATTTGCTTCATTGCACTTGAATTTCCGGTTAGTCCTAGTATCCTACTGTCAAACTCTGCAATAAGTTACAAGCAACGCAAGGTCAGAGAGTTTAGCAAATAGCTGGAACACAGGCAACGAAGAAAAACCGAGACCTTTCAAGTACGCGTTGAGATGACAAGGTGTGTCTCTTTGAGGGTCAAGAGTGACAAAGACAGGGAGAATCTTCTGGTTATCAATCGACTCTGTATACATCAAGAGAAGTTATTAATAGTAAAAGACCACATTCTAACGCGAAAGAGATGTGTTTAAGTGGCTCAAACCTAGTTTATCAACAGCTTTAGACATCATCTTCAATTGCTCGGGTCCAACATCCGGGGAAAACGAGTAACCAAAGTAGAGTAGAACCCATTTACCACGAAAGTCTTGCTCAGTGACTATCTTGTTTTGTGTACTTATAACCGTGAATGGACCTCCGATTATTGGACCTTTCAAGGTTGTATTAGAACCGCAGCCACAACCACTACTGCTGCTTGGTAGACCTGCAAAAGTAGAAGCAGTAAAGAACTCATTTTTATCGAACCAATGCATCAAAAACCATCATCAAGAAACTCTATATACCTTTAGGAACCGCTCTTCTTTCGTCATTGTAATGAAGAAACGAGACAAATCCAGCAAATCCAAGCACAACTACTGGCTGAAACAAGCAGACGAAGGAAACACACACATAGGATCAAAATGGGTTTATACCATTCTCTCTAATATAAAGATCCAATTCAAAAGCAAGAGTTAT